ATGATGATGATGATGATGATGATGATGATGATGATGATGATGATGATGATGATAAAATTCAGAGATCCTCACAGCATTGAAAGTGGGTGTTGAACCCGCACCATGCCAATCTGTCGGTAAATCCCTCATCCAGCCACAGCTTGGTGACAGTGACAGTGACTGTGACTCGTGACGATATCTGCCCTCGGGATCTGGTTCCGGCACTTGACCTGTCCTTGGAAAACACCGCTTTTGAAAGAGACAATCCTTGATATGGCTACTCGCTTACGTCATTCCCGTTTTGCACGTGATGCTCATAAAGCTAGATAACAGTGCAGAATGTATGATACTAACTACTACTCGAGTTGTTTGCTTTTTAAAAATTTTGTTAGTTTTGTTTTGTTGCGGGTTTTTTTTAAGTACTAGATCTAGTATTAGTTTTACGACACTTGCAACACTGAAAGGCTATGCAAGTGCCGAAGATTAGAGGTATTGTTAGACAGTAACATAAAAAGAAAAACGCGTGCTCATATTATGACCTTATGCAGTTGCGAGCGCCGTAAAACTCTTACTAAACTAAAACAAAGAAAAGAAGGAGGAGAGAATAGGGACGATAGATCACGTTTGATAATGGAAAGAAGGAGCAAACGGCACCAGAGCACCGACCCGCTTACCACTACCTTTGTTTTGTTTTGTTTTGTTTTAGTAGAGGTTTTACGGCGCTCGCTACTGCATGAGGTCATATAAGTGCCGAAGATTAGGCGTGTTACAAGGGAGTAACAAACACAAAATAGAAGGAGGGGAGATAAGGACGAATAGATGTTTGATAGGAAATAAGGAGCAACCCACACCAGAACACCCGCCAACCATCCACGTAAAGCAAAGAAAAAACATAGATCTAGACGAAAACAATAGAGCAATAGAGGGAAAGAAACGAAAAAGAATGACCTATACACTGACACTTTCCAACCATTCGCTTATTATTAGTATTAGTGCCGAATAGTTTAGTTTTAGTAAGAGTTTTACGGCATTTGCAACACGATACGGTCATATAAGTGTCGAAGATTAGGTGTTACAAGAGAGTAACAAACACAAAAAAAGAAGGAGGGGAGAGATAGCTTTTTTTATAGAAAAGAAGGAGTAAATCACACCAGAGGACCCGCCAACCACCCACCCGAATAGTTTGACTAATCACTATTCAACATGCAAGGAAACACCAACGTCTGTGGTGGAGCTGTTAGGCACTTTGCTGTCGCATGCAGGAGACCCGAGTTTGACTCCTGAGTGGGGAGTATTTTTATGGAGTATCTCGGTCTTCTTACTGAGATTACTGAGATGCTGTATCTATGTATCCCTCTCAGCCGGGGCTGACAGGGTCGGTCGGAAGTCTGCCACCTAAATTTTGTCGATGGGGGCATAAAAATATATTACATTTTTTTTTAATACGTGGAAACACCATAAGGTGATAATGTGGAACTGTGAATATCCCGTTAAAAATATGGTCCAACGTCCGACAATAGGGATGATAGTATTGCATCTTGCATGGCCTTTTGGGTTTGGAGAAGAATTATTATTGATGGTGTGTTAAAAGCGAGAGAGAGAGAGAGAGAGAGAGAGAGAGAGAGAGAGAGAGAGAGAGAGAGAGAGAGAGAGAGAGAGAGTAGAAAGAAAGAGAGAGAAAGAGAGAGAGAGAGAGAGTAGAAAGAAAGAGAGAGAGAGAGAGAGAGAGAGTAGAAAGAAAGAGAGAGAGAGTAGAAAGAAAGAGAGAGAGAGAGAGAGAGTAGAAAGAAAGAGAGAAAGAGAGGGAGAGAGAGAGGGAGAGGAGGAGGAGAGAGAGAGAGGGGGAAAGAGAAAGGGAGAGAGAGCGTGTGTATGGGGGAGGGGGGGCTGAGAAAGAAGGACTGACAGAGGTGTACAACAAAGATGACCGGTTTCAGAAGCATAGAAGAAAGACACACACTAAACACATACAGACAAGAGCTGATATAGTGATAAGACAGACTATGATAGACAGAAGCACAACAAAGACAGAGACGACAAGAATAATCGGAGGACGAACAATAAACGAGGAAATTCAGGAAATCATTTTAGACATCGGTTTATTTATACTCATTTGAAATAAAAATTTGAAACAATATACATCAATTTTAATAATATTATTATTGAAAACACACTCAAGTCAAACAAAGTGCACATTTTCACGAATGAGTTACTACCATACGCATATTATAACACTCAAACTCAAATACTCACATGTCTGTCTCAAAGTCACAAGCTTCCTTTCTTGACTGAAATCCCCCACCCCAAGACACACACACACACATACTCACTCCCTCTCTTTTTGACGTGTACACGTACACACACACACGCGCGCACGCAAACACACACACAAACACGCTGCACACCAGTAGCACATTTCAAGTCCAGGAAAAAGACCAGGTTGACGAAGATTAGGCTATGACTGATCAACAGGTGTCCAACCACGCACTTTTTTACTATTTTTAGACACGACTAAAACCACTGCCCATCAATTAATTATCCAAAGACGGTCCCATTTCACAAAAACAATAGAGAGTAGTTAGTTATTTTGTCTCATATTATCATCGTTGAGTTCTGTCTGATATGTTTAAATTTAGAGATACCGACCACAATTCGAGACATAGGCACCGAAAACTTTTTAATCTCGGTCAACTGATGTTTATTACACTTCAATCATCATACGCGTCAGAAATGAGAATTCAGATCAAGCCCCGCACCAGGGGAAGAATGTTTATTTTAATTTTTCAGAGTACAGCTCGGTCTATCTGCGCGATGAAGTCCCCTTAATCTGAAATCTGCCGAATTTTCTTCGGTTTAGCCGGGTTTTCAGTATAGAGAGGTTGCTCAAACAGATAGGGGGAAATCGTGGATTATTTTAACATTTTCTCTCTGGTTGCCGATGTTTTACGATTTTATCGTGTTCGGTTTAAGCAGACTCCATTGTATCTATTATATAATAATATCAAGAACAGCTCCACCTGTCGGGGCGAGACTGGTATCTTTATAACATCGAGAGCAGCTCTGTCTGTCTGCTGGATATCAATCTACAAAACCTTGGTAGATAGATCAGCTCGTCTCCTAAATGATCAAAATCTAAATTGTCGATGGGGGAAAGGTATAAACCTTCACAATAAAAATATTCTTTCAGTGAAGGCGCACTTCCCTACTTAAAAATGAGAAATTGTTTCTAGGACACATCACTTTTTTTTTAACCAATTCAGTTATTCGGGAAAACACGTTTTTAAATGTCATTAGGAACAATGCCAATCTTCCCATCAAAGTAAATTAAAACAAAAAAAATTACGGGAATGCCAAGTCTAGCGTTGTTTTGTTTATGCAATGACCCGACTGTGACCTTCAGCATGCAGGTGGTACACTCTTCATGAGGTCGTGAAAAAAATAATTAAACAACTCAAATTAAATGTGATTGCCAGCTGTCAGTCAGATAATCCAAATCAACATGGTGGTTTACCAGGTCATGAAAAGACACAATACATATTTTCTTGCTCAAAGTTTTTTTTTTATTTAAGAAGAAAAAAAAAAAGAAACAATGTTTTGGACAGGATTAAGAAAAAAATTAATTGTTTAAAGATTAAAACGGGGAAGCATTTAAATACCCTGTTATATTCAGCCAGTTACTGCTAGAGGTAATGAAGCCAAAACTGATTACTTTTTAAGTACTCTATACAAAAAGTAAAGTGTTTTTATTAATAAAACTGAAAAATTCTACATTCTTAAAGCTTTATATGTATATTATTCCATATTTTCACACAAATATTCACAATTTTGTTCTTCTTCACATTTTCATAGAGCTTACAGTCTTTATTTCAGAAGCCCAAATCAAATCTTTCAACACATATATGACTAGTAGCTGACAAAATTGAGAGTACCGAAGACAAATATCACAAGATCAACACATTCACTGCAGACATGTAGTCCAGTCGTAAGCTCTGTGCCATAAAAAATCATAACTATAGGCAAGAACAGTCAGTAAAAAACTGATGCACTATACTACGCTGCCATAACAACAACACACACACTCTTTGAAATGCAGAAAAGGGGTAGAGACACCCACCAAAACAAATATCAAATACAATATAAAATAATTATGTTCTCCAACATTCTGCACATTTCGCGACCACGATTTCTCTTTTGCCACGCATTTCTTTCCCAATCTTCCACACAGCCACATCTCATACTTGCAATGCAGAAGCAGGTGCACATTTCCAACAAACATACCAGGATGATATTATACCACATTTCTTTCTTCCTCCATATCACCCTTCACACGAATGAGCAATCATATTGCACACGCTCCAATTTGAAACATGATAACTATGGCCGTAAACGTTGGAGTGAAAGAAAAATATTTGTTCTGGACAACAGTACACTACAAAAACCTTGCCAAAAATCATTAAGTACAGGTTCTCATTTTTGTAACAAAGAAAAATACAATCCATGTCAACCATTCTGAATGTAAACAATTATCTTAAGTAGACTGATCTGTTCACGTTGTGACGAAGCAACTAATGTGAGTTCACACACATGCCCCCAGGACCTGAAAAGGCATCAAAGCTCTCCACTGAGAAAAAACTGGGAGTAAACTAATCATTTGAATGTATGCTATTCATAACAACATTCAATCTTGAATCGGTGGTCATGATATAATAATAAAGGAAGAAAAAACAGCTCACATATTTGAGAATCAACTTATATAAAAACCAAAAGAACCATTTGATCTTTTGTAACCAATGGGAAATAAAGAGGAACTGAAATGAAATGCTACTTTTTCCGAAAGGTCAGAAAAATAAAAATACAAACTAAACTTCTCTTGTTGTGTCAAAATGTATCAATGGAAGTACAGACAATCTCATCATCTGTGAATTAAGTGAATATCAAACTGCTTTACTGTTCATGATAAGGAAATCTAACTTTGTATTTTTAGGGAAACTGGTTGTGTAATTTTAGTATTCTGGCTCTGGTTTCAAGGAAATGGAATGTTCTTTTACAGAGTTTTGGCATCTTTTCTATGAAGACAAAAGAGGAATTACTTAACACCAAATTGTGAGACTAGATATCGTTTTGTTGCATCACAGAACAGTAACTTTTGACTCATTAGTAAAAGAAAGCATTAAATTTGAAACTGCATTCAATCTATTCCAAAAAAAACCCACCAGCTCTATCTCTTCTTAAACACATGTTATAAAGCTGGGATGGCCATGTTACCACACTGATCTAACAAAAGAAAATATTGAAACAAAATAAAGCGTTCACACAAGCCAAATTTCAGATGTCTACATTGAATAATCCAATCTTGAAAGGGATGATCAGTCTTTGTTGAACTCAAATCGGTGAGACAATGGCATTATAGAATCCATAAAAAAACATAAAAGTTAAGTCATGTGACGTCACACACGTGATGCGGCAAAAATGTCCACCCCTCTGCAGACGGAATCCATTATATTGTCGTCACTTGGCGTCCAAAAAACCAATACTGACTTCATCCACACGGCGTATAATTTGTCACGTGACTGCTTTGATCACCCTCGAGGAGCCATGACGTCGTGGAAACAAGGGCGATCACTTTGGGAATCAGCTGAAAGTCTGTGTGAAGTTCCAGGCATCGCAACATCAGTTCAGACGTTGGCACGTTTATTGCAAAAGACAAGGGCTTTGATTTTTGAAAAAAAAAAAAGAAAAAGAAAGAAACCGAAACCCTTGCTTGTATATCCATAAACCCTATGAGGAGGGTATGATACATGTAGACGGAGACGTCACCAGAGCGGGAAAACCTTTGTCTCGCGTCTGCTCTTGGCCTTGTCGTCCTCACACTTTCTGTTGGTCTGCACAATTCTTGTGATTGGACACAGCCAAAAAGATGAACTGGGTGGGTTAAAGCGCAGGCGAGGGGTGAACTGTCGCAGGTCAAGATTTCTTGTATTGAAGGATCACAGCTGCTTCATGTTGTTCTGGAAAGGAAGAAAGAAAGAAAGAAAATAAATTAAATAATTCACAAAAACTTTCAGTCTGCAATATTACTAGATCTATCACAATCGTAAATTTTAAAAAATAATAATTTCAGAACTAAAACAAAAGAAAATAAAAATAAATAATTAAGTAAAAAAAAATAAAATAAAATAACCTAGCCCAGAAAGAAATACATTTTTCCAAGGTAAGAAAAAAATTTATTCGTAAAAATAACTAAGTAGAGAGGAAATTAATGTTGCAAAACAGTTTGCCTAAACAAGCAAATAAATAACTTAACTAGGGCCTAGCCTTAAATTTCATTACATAACGAAGGGAGTGGGGGAGGGGGGGGGAGGAAGGAATAGAAGGACTGGCGACAGGCGGCAGTGAAGCGCACCTGGAAGACGGCACATTTGCTTGCAAATAACAATACGCCCGGGTCAACCCAGGATATTTCTCACTGCTGTATACACAACAGGTGCGTCGCCAGGAATTGAATTGGTAATTGGTGGTGAAATTCAAAACACACAAACACCTGGCAAACACACCAAAAAAAAAAAGGAAAAACCCAACTCGGACCCCCAAATTTAAAAAATCCTGCGTTCAAATAAATCCAACTAAAAAATTAAGAAATAAATAATCAATTAGTCAATCAAACAATTTTTAAACAATAACCTTTAAGGAAATAGAAATAAGGTAAAGAGAAAAAAAAATCACTACCAGATAAATAATTGACGAGAGAAACAGAGCGTACGTCAACTAACAATACAGTTGGGTCATCGATTGACAGCGACATCAATTTCTATGCCTTTGTAATTGGCCAATGACGTCATTGTATAACCTTTATTTATCATGTCTCTGCTAGCCTACAGCACGTGCAAGAAGAATGGTTGCGACATAAAGGGGCAAGATTATAGAATCTCTAGGCCTACGGAACAAAACAGTGAGCTTCATCCTATATAAATGTGTCGTCACGCAGGAAGATCTCATTTATCTCCAATGTGTTAACTGTGACAGCAAATGACGAAAACAAGACAAGAAGCAAAACCATAACACCCCCCCCCCCCCACACAATAAATAATAAATACATAATTTTTAAAAAAATAACACCACAGCCCTATTAACTCAAAGAGTAACAATAAAAACCGCAAAACCATAAGCACTAAAGACGGTTCGAACATAAAACAAAACAGAAACACAACACACCTAAGCAAAAGTGATCAGACACCAAACTAACAAAGGTAGAACGAGGGTTAAAAATCTGTCAGTTTCAGACATAAATTTGAAATCGTTTCAAACTCCCAACCTCTTAAGAGATTTTGTATCCTCGCGATTGCGTCGATTGGCGCAACATTGGGGAAACTTGACCACAACAGGACTTCTTCAGGAAGATAGGAAAGGAAGGGGGGGGGGGTTCTAAGGGCAACTCGGTTAGGCCTATCTTCTTACTTCATTTCCGGAGCCCTTTTCTTTTAACAGCCCCCATGATTCGGCCATTAACCGGGCTAATATTGCGTCAAGTTTGGTTGGGACAACGGTAGTAAGGGGGGACATTATTGGTGGGGCGGGTCGGAGAAGGGGGGCCACACCTGCACATAATTAACCACGCCGAAACGGAGCGTGACTGGCGGCCAATTTCTGTCACCCGAGTTTGTTGTATTCGCGACCCCGGTCTCCCCGCGTCGCAACAGCTTTCACT